CCAGACCTCATCAATGTCAGCACTCGTGGTAAGGGCCCTCTGCTTCACCAATACTTTATATATAAGCACCTTCCATGTCAGTCGCTGATGGACAGATGCTTACTAGTTGTTTTAACTGCACGGTAAAAAGAAACGCTGATCGGCCTCCGCCTTTAGCTCCAAAAGAGGGGCTTTGGAGTGAGAGGAGGCTGTTATAAGCCACCCTAGCGAGCAGAACCCTCGCCCTCAGCTATTTTAGGCCTCTATAAATAGCCCTATTGAATTTTTGCTGAGGTTGATAAGCCTATAATTAATGTGACCATCATTAGGCACGGTCAAGTTCTTCTCAAGAGGAACTGCTAGTGAGGTGAGGCAAGGAGAATGGGGACTTCTCTGTCCTTGTTTTAAGGATGAACTGAAACAAGTGACAGCCACTCAGCTTCCCCATGATGTGCAGGCACCACTTTGTTGTAAAGCTGCAGGATAACACACAGCGGCGTCTATCAGCTCCCTGCAAAAAAAAAAAAAAAAAGGGGGGGGGGGGGTACTGTGCTGCGACTTCAGTAGATCTGAATTGCATTGGAATTGCATCATTAATAGAGCAGAAATTCTTCCCAGCAACTCCAGGAGAATACATTGACCCCTGAGGGAGACTAGAAACAAGACAATGTTTTTACAGCAGGAATATCTAACTAGAGGTCCCATTACTACTTCATCAATATACAGCAGCGAGTGAGGGAGACGATGGGAGGGGAGAGTTGAACACAAAAAAAGGGGGGCAGGAAAAGAAGGGGGAATGTAATAGCTTATAGTGCTAATGGCAGCCTGAGCACTCAAGTCCCAAACATTCAACCGTCTCATCTCATCTGGGCTGTGTAATTGCCCTCCTGGAAGCCGCCACGCGAAACGGCTGCTTCTGTAGTGAAGAGTGGCAGCTGCTGGGTGTTGAGGAGCGGGCCTAGGTCAGATCCCCAAATGGGGCTCCTTGCAACCATGAGATGTCATAATTAATAGCTATCTGGGTGCCTGGGGGCCAGTTTTGGGTAGGTTTGGGAGAGTGTATGTCGAGGGGGGGGGGGATTATTTGGCTAAATGGAAGCCAAATAGAAAGAGACGCCAGACGTATTCTCCACTTAACATAATGTACACTTATCACCGCTTTGCCTGTAGCGAGTGAGCCTGTGCATCATCTTACCGCCTGCGTTTCATGGGTGTTTTTCTCTCTTGTTTGCATTAGGTTTCCCTCCTGTATCGAAACGCACCTAAAGATATGTTGCTTGGGTGCGTCATGGGAACTTATTAATCTTTGGGGACCAGTGTTCTCCCAGTTAAGTAAATATACATGAGCTGCTGCGCGAGATACAAGCTCCCAGCACCTCCACAAAAATCTGTTACTTCAGCTTCCCTCTTTCTTCCCATCTTCCTCCCTCTTTCTCTCTCTCTCGCACAGTCGCTCTCTAACATGCCGCCTGGGGGCAAATCTCACTCTGTCTCATCTGCTGCTTAATTTCACTGGAGCGGCCCTCAGTAATGAAGCGCCTTGATGTACATTTGCCAATTCCTGCCTCTGCCACTGCGATATAATTGGGATGTGACTAAGCATGAATACCCAGCACAGGGTTGGTTGACCTCTCGGCGACCCCGCGGAAAGCGCTTTTGTCGTAATGGAGGTATTATCTCACATAATCTGGGAATGGAGAGGGATTGTCTGCAGGGTGCCAGGGATGGAAATGAATTGATATAACTCCCTGCTCCTGCATACCACGGTGAAAGAGGGGATGAAATTTTTTTTTAGCAAGATATTTTTTTTCTCTTGCTCATAATGAAGACATTTTCTGCTTATCTATTGGTGCTTTGTGTTTATTGGAGTAGCAGAGCAGCTTCTGGCAAAAGCATGGGGCGTTTTTTCTTTTTGTTTTTTTAGGAGGGAGTTTTGATGTTGTGAAACTAAACAGGATTTGTCTTTTTGTGTGTACGTGTGTGTACGTCAGCCTTCTGCCCGTGTAGGTGCACTGTGTGCTCACGTTAGTGTGTACTTATGTCTGTTAATGACCCTGTAAAATGACAAGCTGAGCTGGCAGTGAGAGTACAGCCGACGGTCAGAGAGAGACAGAGCGAGAGGGAAAGTAGGAGAGTTCAGAGGGAGGTGTGATGAGGGGGGGGCTATGTTTACGAGGTCGGTGGTTGCTGTGATTCACCGTGCTGTCATCAGAGGGACTGAGGCCCCTGAGTGGCCCTCTCTATTCCCACCTGAGAGCTCTGCAAATGGAGGGGCCGCGCTGTCATTATTTACAGCCCGCAGCTCCTAACCTTGGATTCTGCGCTCATCGCGGCGAGGGGAAAATCAGATTGGACTTGACGTGTACCCGAGCCAGTGACCTTGATAAGTGTGAGGTGCCTGCAGCAAGAGGTTAGGGAAGAAGAGCTCGCAGCCGTGCGCACGCATGTACACGTTGGTGTGTTTGTGTATTTCGGCCAGGTGGGGAGTTGGAGGCATGGTTGAATGACAGAACCATGACTCAAGATGACACGTTGGTAGGGCGCACTCACGGACCAAGATGCAGCAGGCATGTGTGACATTATAACTGTTCATTTCCTAAGGCCTAGTCTGGAAAATAAAAGGCGATTATTTATTTTTCTGAAAAAAAACCCCACCACAAAAACCAAAATCAGCTGTTGTGAATTGTTTTGATAGTTGCTCAAAGGTTTAGTGGTGTGACAAAAGACGATGCTAGGGATAGAGTGAGATGGAGGCACATGATCCAATGTGGTCACCCCAATAGGATCAGCGGAAAGAAGAAGATGATGATCCATTGACAGCACACAAAAAGAAATACCTGCTAATTAGTGCGAAGTAAAAAACTAAAAATAATAAAAAAAATTATTGATTTTATTCACAAAAAGTGAAGCACAAACTTTTGGGATAGGCTGTTAGTGCATATTAGTTCCAAAAGTGACAAACACAACTTAGAGGTCAAGATTTAATCAGATTCATAACAGGTGAAATGTAGCCACGCCCCTTGCAATGCTAACTTTAAAGTTGCAGTTTATAAAATCTCGCCATGAGATGTCAGTAGATCCCAGATTGCAGTCAACTGAATTCTATTTTCCTAGCCCTCCCAATTCAAGTGCATAATCCTAGCAACTCTAGCCGTTCATCTGTAGTGAGTGTAGGCCGTAAGTACGCTGTTTACCTCAGCTGTTAATATGTGTCCATGGCTATTTACTCTGGAGGAGGCTGTGAAACTGTGTAATATTTAATTCAATTCAATTTTATTTACACAGCACCAAATCACAACAGTCACCTCAAGGCGCTTTGTATTGTAAGGTAGACCCTACAATAATACATACAGAGAAAAACTCAATCTTATGAGCCCCTATGAGCAAGCACTTTGGCGACAGTGGGAAGGAAAAACTCCCTTTTAACAGGAAGAAACCTCCGGCAGAACCAGGCTCAGGGAGGGGTGGCCAATGTTTGCCTGCTTTAGCTTCTAACATTGTTGGACTCTTCTCTCAAACAAAGTGAGAATGTAGTCAAATAGTTTTTTTTAAGGACACTAGAGCCTAACATTAGCTAACATAACGTTAACTTGTAACCAGCTGTTGTTGTTGATGTGTAGCCAGCTCGTTATCTGGAGACCGGAGGGTCTGATGTCTAATCTGCTAATTACATTTTATTTGGATGCCGGTGTTGCTGTTTCTTCACGTTTTTGTTTCTCTGGCAAAGGAGACCCCTTCTCAGATAACAAAAGATAAGTATGATCTTTCATATCTTGAGGCTGAAGGTGCAGACACAAATTAATATTGACCTCCACAGCATGCTGTGCCTGCAACTTCTCTCTCTCCTTTTGGTGTAAAACACATTTAGGTGGAACGGTGATGTCCATCTCTCCCAACGTCTGTTTATTGGAGAGTTCATTAATTTATTAGAAAAGACATACAACAAATAAGTCAAAAATCAACGTGTATTTATGAGTACAGCTTTCTTTTTGTCTCTTAAAAAGCTTAAAAATTGACTGGCCTTTAATAGAATGCTAACATGGGATTTATGCCATCCCTCGCGTTAGTCATGAAGAGGTAAATTGGCTGTAAACAAGGCAAGAAGTTTTCTTTGTTTCATAAAACAGAGATAGATAGTCAAAAAACTCTATGCCCTGATCAGCTGCGCTTGCAAATTGTCAACCTTAGTCTGGAAACACAGGTGAGCTTTGTGCGATGTAATGAATCTTTTCCTGGATATTTTTATTTTTATTTTTCCTCCTTATTTTTTATTTTCATCTGAACTACTTACCTGGAGACCAGAAGGGTGGGGCATAGGGGGAACGCAAAAAAACAAAAAACAGAGGAGAGCTTCTCTAGACGGTTGATGAAAATGCATTTTTCTTCCCCCACCGAGACGCTGTTTGGTCGTGTGAAATGATTAATTTCACACATATACAGGTCATCCCCAAAAGCAGCAACATCTCATTCACAAGGGGCCCCCGTCAGCAACAAAACAGGAGTCTGCAATAAAACGAGCAAACAGCAGCACGTACTGTACGTCAATAAATCTTTGGAGGTTAAACCTGAGCGCTGTAGAATTTGAGCAGCCCCCACCCCCTTTTCCCTCATCAGGTAAAAGTCACTGAGTACATCAAGACTGTCAGGACCAAAAATTGTCCAGCGAGCAGTTCGGGGAGTGTCCTGCGGTAGCGGCTGCATACTCTGTCACACACTCAGAGTCTGTGTTTGCATAAGAAGGATGAAGCCTTGAATTATGGGGTTTGTGTAAATAAGGAGATGAGACTGTTTTTAGCACACATGGAGGAAGGAGTGCTTGGATGAGAATAGTGCCTCTGTGCGGAGTGGAATTGGTCTTGGGCTGTTTACGACAGCTCGCAGCCCTCATATATCACAAGCAGTATGTTTGCTGTGAAGCTACAGTTTGTGTGCCATCTGCCTTAGCTGAACTTGACCCCTCAAACAGACATATATTTTGTAAACTGAGCTCTGTGTAACTGTCGTCATTTTCTCCTTCCCAGTGGATGCTCCAGAAGCCCCATAAGGTGGCTACCTTCTTCGGGTGCATCGGGAAAGACCGCTTTGGCGAGATCCTAAAGAAGAAGGCCGAAGAAGCCCATGTCGATGCCCATTACTATGAGCAAAACGAGGAGCCGACTGGTACCTGTGCAGCCTGTATCACGGGAGACAATAGGTTTGCAACCTTTCATTTATCCTTGACCAAGGAGTAACCCGTAACCCGGCTTTAAGAGAGTTTTTTTGGTTCATTTTGACTTCCACGGGCAAGCAGTTGACTTCTCGGGGCTAGAAGTCATAACAGGGAATCATAGCTCAGCTCACACATCAAAAGGAAAAGGAACAGCTTGAGCGTGTTTGTAAAAGGCCCCCACTCAGTCTCTGCCGTCCCAGTGGGTTGTCATCCATCTATAGGCTGACAGTAGCAATGTGTTAGGGATGCCTGGGCTATCCCAGTTCTCACCTGTCAGCCTTCTCGACTGTAAAAGGGGCTTTAGCCTCTCTGGTGACTCTCACGCCAGCATCGTCGGGTCACAGCCTACACACACACACACAGATACACAAATAACACTAACATTAAGGGCTCCAGTTCATGATAGACCAGGTGTGGATCAATAACCACCTCCTTCAAACACTCCCTTCCTTTACAGCCCTTTATCCGCTGCTACTGGAGTTGTCAGTCAGTCAACGCCTGGACCCTGACCGCCCCGGGAGTCAGCCCTGCTGAATGGTCTTAGTGGGATTGTTTGATGTGGGCTCTGACACCTGAAAAGGTCAGGTGCCGTGCTCAGGGAGACGAGCTCTGTAATATTTCTTACAGGTGTTTAACAGACAGCTCAGGAGGCCAGAGGAAAGGTCGCCAGCAGGGCCAGATTGGAAGGGTGATGGCTTTGAAGTACTGGGAGCCAGTGTGTCACAGCCCTAAGGCTTTGATTAGTGCAAGTCTTCAAAGATACAGAAAAAAAACCTGCCTCCTTTACTAAAATCTGACAGTTTGAGTCCCAATCTGTGCAGATGCCCTACGTTGAATAATCACATTTTAGCTATTAAGAAATTAGTTTATTAAAATCTTACAAGTGTAATCAGGGGTTCAATCAGCCAGTCTCTCCAGGAGCTCTGAGTTTTTGCATAGTAATTGCCGCAAATTTCTTTATATCAACTTTTCAATGCAGAAAACTGCAATAATTTGTGCAGATATTTAAAATATTTAAATATTTTAGATTGTGTGAAGATCTTGCTGATAATTTTCACGTTTAAAAATTCCCAGTTTGGTGAAAGATGCTGCTAGCCTGTCAGCAGTTATTTTCTGTAGCTTAGTTTTAAGTTTAATTTTTTTTTTTTTTTTTTTTTTTTTTTTTTTTTTTTTTTTTTTTTTTTTTTTGTTAGTTAGTTTTAAGTTAAGTTAATAATGTAAAAGTAATGCCTATTTTCTCTCTGCCAAACTACACCCAGCAAATATATCACTTTACAAAAGGAATGATTGTTGAAGTGAACAATGATGCGCACTTCTGTGGCTGGAGGGGGTGTAGTTCAGTAGAAGGGAAATTACAAATACACTAAACACATGACGACTAGTTTGTGGATTTATTTTTTATTTTTTGGAGTAATCAGGTCTTTCTAAAAAACAGATGTAAATACGATGAAACAATTTTGTTCAATTTTATTCATTAGAAGGCAGATGTTGCTACAGCTAATATCTTCAAAGCTGGGTGTCTCACAACCAAACAATGGAGATGAATAAATGGCACTACATGCCAGTGGAAAAACTTGAGTATTTTGTTTATGAGGGTGAACCGTTCCTTTGTTGTGTTGCCAGTTTGTTGGAGTGTACACAGCCTGTTCACCACATTCACTGGTTTTCTATAGCATAATTGCTACAGTTTCACAAGGGAAAACAATAGTTTGAGACCGCAGCACGACCAAAAATGCAATAACTGTGTGCAATGAACTTGTGGTCTCTTTGGCTTCGAAATTTTTCTTTCGAAGATGAGGACCAGGTCTGCAACCACTCACAGTCAGCTGCCATCTTCAAAGTGACATTCGTGCGTAAAGATGGGATGAAAAGGCGATACGATGGAATCGGGCTGCTATCGGTTTGCAGCTGACTGGCGTCAAGTTGATAATTATGTGGAATTTCTTTGTGATAAACTGAAAAGAATCACAAATCTGTTGCTGGTCACATACACAGAAATTCACATTAACTACTTACATTCAGAGCAGAGCCAGAACCTCATCTGAAACAGAAATGCCTTCACAAGCCATGTTGTTGCTGCAGGGCGTTAATTTAACTGCAAAATGACACAGCCACTTGGTAACTCTGCACTTGGGATTTTCAACATAGCATTTCAAAACATACCAGTTTTCTTTAGAAAGCGTAAATTATTTCTGCGTGTACACAATAACAGAATTATTTCAGATAAAACCACTCAGGTCAATATTATTAAACACCTGATCTTTTTATTGAGCCATGGCACAAACCACTGCTGTGCAATCATGTGCTTTAACTTGTAATGCTCAAAGCTTATAAAATCAAGTTGAAACTGAGGGTTATCTTCTAGCTTACACACAGTATAAAAACTTTAGCAATGGTTTGAGCTCTCACTTGAGAAAACATCATGCCAAAAACAAAAGAAACCAGTTCAGACTTTATCTTTAGTTATAGTGTTTCCAAGTGTCAAGAACTGGAGTGAGAAGTATCATCAAGAAATTTCAAAGAAGGCCACACAGTACAGAACAAGCCTGGCAGAAGTAGGAAGCGGAAATTTCAAAGATTCTGGAAAGAAAGCTAGTGAGAGATGTGTCTAAAGACCCCAGAAAAACTGCCGAGACACCATTGAATGACTTGAGGAATGAAGTCAAAGAAAACAATCACTAAAACCCTGCACAAGAGGAACAGCAAGGAAAACTCCACTTCTGCAGCAGAAACACTTTTAAGCCAGAGTAAAGTATAGTAAGCAAGAATATGCACACTGGAAATGTGTCCCTTGATCAGATGAGACAAAACTAGAGCTCTTTGGCCACAGAGATGCTGCTGATGTTTGGAGATAGAGAATGTCCCCAGTAGTGAAACACGGTGGTGGGAGTATTATGCTGTGAGGATGCCTTAGTGTGCCTGGAAATGGGAATCTCGTCAAGGTGGAAGGAATCATGAAGGAAGAAGGATACGGGAAGATTTTAAAAGAAAACCTCAAGCAGTCAGCAGAAAAACAGAGTCTGGGTCATCGCCTTGTTTTCCAACACATCAACGTTGCTCAAGGTGAAGAACTACCTCCAGAAGATTAAAGTAAACGTTACCGACTGGCCTTCATAAAGCATCGTCTTGGAATTCTGTAAGGTCCGTGCCAAACTATCATCGGATCTAGAGGAATTTGAGAGATTCACCAAAGGCAGTGAATCTGTCCTCATCTGTAGGAATATAACAAAAAAACAAGCAACTGTCAGCCAGTAGAGTCGAGTCTAGTAATGCAAAGACAGGCGTCTCATAAGAGTTGCGCTTATTGGTGCTGGTTGACAGATTGACTTCAACCTGTTCACAGACTGTATGCGCTTATAAACCAGATGGCAACTATTTGCAAACCTTCACCAATCTGTGTGAGAGCAATTAAAGTCTCTCCAAGTGTTTGGCGACAGGTTTCCTCCAGCTGACCCGTACTATTGAAAGTGGTCGCACATTCAATCTCAGCTATTTTCACTCTAGTTTGACTGAGTTATAACAGAAATCGATGCGTGACAGTTATTCCACTTTGATAAAACTAGAAATCATTCCTCTGGATTTCCTAGTTTTCTTTTCTTTCCTTTTTGTTAAATTCCTAATGAGCATTTTAACCTGGAGTGCCTCACTGTGGCATTTCGGCTTGTCCTCTTAAATATGTCACATCATAATGGTTATTTGCTCTGCTCACGTCCGTTGGACTTTCTCAGTTAACAACACTCGTTTTGTCTGTCACGCTCGTAGCAACCTTTTGAGTCCATTACGGCAGCTCCGGTCAAACACGGTCCCAATTCAGCTGCCATATCGTAGCCTTCATCATCACACGCTGATCAGCTTAGCACACTGTTACTCTTTTCTTTGACACTAACCACGGAGAGCAGCTTTTTTTTTGCTTTTTTTTTCTCGCCATGTGAGAACAGACCTTCGTGTAGCAACACCCTCCTGTCATATGGTCGCCTAGCAGTTTTCGCCTAAGTAGCTATGATGGTTGCACTCATTTTGATGGCCGCTCATAAAGATACAGCGCACGAGGACTGGCTAATGAGCTGTGTTAAGACAATACCACCTGCTTCACTTTCCAGCTCCCACCACTCACTACTCAAGTGTTCATTTAGTAATCTCTTTCTGTTGTTTTCCCACCCTTGTTATCTATGCAGAACTTTTACAGGTGATAATATGATATGAATAATTTTAGGGTGTCTCTCTTTTGGCTTTGAAAACCCCTCAGCTTGTTTAATCTCCTTTCTTTGGTGTATTTTTTCTTTTTGAGATAGCACCGTTTTTTTAAAGAAAGGAAAAATAAAGAGATCCAGATAGACTTTAATTCACCTTGGCTCAGACATTCTTAGGAACTATTATCATCCTTATATATCACAAAAGAACAAAGGAAAGTCTGAGGCCTGAGTGTTTTTTAAGGATGTTTTTGAGACAAAATTAAGATGGATGATAAGCGAGGCAGAAGATTTATGGGGTCTGTCTCGGCAGGTCCCTTGTTGCTAACCTGGCAGCGGCAAACTGCTACAAAAAGGAAAAACACCTGGACCTGGACAGCAACTGGGAGCTGGTGAAGAAAGCCAAGGTCTATTATATTGCGGTAAGTGAGACCCTCTACATTCAAAATGACTGTTCCCCAACTCCACTGCCAGAGGAGGACAAAATGTTAAGAGGCTTTATTCAGGAAATGCCTCAGCACGCCTTCTGCATTGTCAATATATCCATTCATCCTTTGTCGAGTGAAATGAGCTATGTTACCTATTGAGACAATACAGCTCCATTTTCCCCCTATTTTTTTCCCCAGGTCTTTGTGCGCGAAGCTGCAACATAGTGTGAAATTGTTCTACATGTAATGCATTCATTCATTTCTTTTAACGTGAAGACAGGCCAACAGGTGCTGTGAAAGTGTGAAAATTGATTATGCAAGTTCATTCGGTTTTAGCTCCCAACCCCCCACTCCCACGCAATCTTCTCCTTACAGACAAAACACACGCACAGATTGAGGAGGACAGATGTGCGCTTAGATATTCACACACGCTCGAGCTGCGCCCACTGAGGTAATGTCTTTACTTACAGCTTCTGGAGTGGGATGGCCTGCTATGCTCATGTTTCACTGTTTGGGATTATATTTAATTCCGGCAGATCGACATTTTCTCTGATCTTAAGTCAAGACGATAGCCCTGAAATTGCGCTGCATTCCACGTCTTTAAGCAGTTCATTATCAACATAAATCAGCGTTAGTGCTCAGCATTCAGCATACTCCTTGGCATGTTGTCCCAAGTGATATTCCCAATTCCCCCCACCCACCTCCCCATTGCCCACAAGTCCTCTAAACACGAGTGCATCGCAGTGCAATAATGATGGAGGTTTCATAATTAGCCGCCCAGTCGAAGAAACAAATACCAAACGAAAAATTGTTTATTAGAGGGGAGGAAAAAGAATCTTTCAGTGGTCGTGCCAGAAAGCAGATCAGTCAGTCCATCCTCCAGAGTTTGTGTGGTCTCATTTTTAGCCTCTGCTTCGCATTAGCAAACATGGCACATCCTCTGCAAATTGGCAGTTGGGTTTTGCCCACATCCGACAGCGTAGCGCGCAGGGGAAAAGCTTCCGTGGGATTTGGAAGGGGGGATAGAAGGGCCACAAATGGGTGTTTGTCAGTGCTTGGAATCTAAAACGTGGTGTTCAGCGTCCCTCCTGGGCCTCTTTGTCAAAACAGGGGGATCATTCGCTTTATTAGAGTCCCGTTCGCACTTCTAAAGTACTTAGCCAGATACACTGCCACAGCTATTCCCATTTAATACTGTGTGGCATGTCTAGACCAGCGTTCACTAAGGCCTCCTCTCTCCATTAACCTTGTCGAGAGCACTCAGATGTATTTACCCAATTTACGGCCAGATTTTACATCTTCTCCCTCTCTCCCGCTCACTGTACCAACCTTTGCTATGCATTAATGTGCTTTGTTGATTTTCATTAAACTACTGCTGTGGTGGTATACGTAGCTTTGTTCGCTCTAATCTGTAAATTTAATTACCGGAAAGTGCACAAGAGCGTGCGCGCGCAAGAGTGTGTGCGTTCGCGTTCTGTTTGCTCGCACATGCCTCTGTGTTTGTCTGAACATGCGTGTTAAAGAGGTGATTGATGAATCCTGGCAGAGGCTCTCAAGGTGCCTGCTACTATGTGGTGTGATTGGATGAAAACAGAATTATTAGAGGGCTCTTGCAGCCAGTCTGGCTCATCCAGCATCAGCAGCGGCAGCGGCGGCGGCGGCGGCAGCAGCAGGGCTGGTGGCAGACACAGAGCAGGGAGGCAGCACTGCCATTTCTCACAAAGAGAGAGAATGTTGAACTCCTGCCAAATGTTTGGTGGCAGGCTGTTGCTAGGAAATCTGGGTCCTTAGGCAAATCATTGCACAAAGACCAATAACAAAAGCATGAGGGGGAAGAAGGAATAGCTAAATGCATTTCAGGCAGAGGAGATCTCTCTTTTTTTTTCAATGCCGTCGCTGCTGCAGTGATGTGTGCAGTTATTTCATTCCCCGACGACTGTAAACATCAGAAATGGAGGGTGATGTATTGTAAGAAGGGGCGGATGGGGGGGGGGTGAGTGACTCTAATTGGAGGGGGTGATGTGTGCATGTGCACACTGGCCCAGTTAGCCTCTTCTCCCTCTCCTTTTTTTTTGCTCCCACTTTCCTTCCATCCCCATCCCTTTACCCCCCTCTTCATCCTCCTCTTTTTCCTTTTTATTCCTCCTTGTGTCCCCCTTCTCTTTTTCTCTAGTCTCTCAAACACACACACACAGATGCTGTTAAACACACACACACACACATTATGCAGCATACCACTAGCTTGTTTTTACCACCGAGGGCTTTGCCCTGTAATTTGATCTCCGCTGCTTGATGCATCCTCCATGATGCCACTTTGAATTAACCTACGTCTCCACAGCTCTCCTTAGCCCTGGATAATAAAATGGCCTCTCCTAACTTCTGCCATTTAAATTCAAGGGGGAAAAAAAACAAAAAGGAAGAAGAAGAAGCTCCACCTCACGGTCATGCACAGTGAAACCAACAGAAACGGGGAAGAGGGGAGACGAACAAGACAATTGACTGTGAAAAGGCCTGTTAATGACTGGGCACAGATGGTCAGAAATAACCCAAGGATAGACGGAGGAGACGCTTGCCTCTGCCAATTGGCCTCATACGCAAAACTCACCCAATGAGACACAAGCTGCAGAGCTGTTAGGTCACAAACCTAATCACAGCTGCGGATGCTGTTCGTTTGCACCCTGCGCTGGGAGCACAATCCACGTTAGCCTGCAAGAGGTTAGCCACGCCCAAGGAAAATGGCTAGCCCGCCCTTTTTTTTTCCCAGTTTTTTTTTTTTCTTCAAACAGCACAGCAAGTTGAACTATAATGCCTCACACTGTTAACACTGGCACACCGCATATAGCATTAATTGGCAGTTGTATTCTTGCCCTCACTGCAGGGGAAAGCTGAGTTCACTGTAGCATAATATGCAAGGAAAAAAAAGGAGAAAGGGAAGGCAAAAGCAGAAAAAAAGCGCAGTACTGGCACCACAAGCTGCACGTCAGCCTGCTTACACCCCAGAGTGGTGCACGCACACACACACATTGTTACTCCGCCCGATCAGCCCCCTTCATTTTGCAGCCAAAAAAGCAAAGGGAAAGGTTTTCCACACACACACACACACGTCTAACTGACACCTCATCAGCCAGCCGAAGGGCTGATTAGCACAGAGGTGACTGCGGCTGTGTCTCTGTCCAACTCAGAGGACCACACTGTCCTCACACTGACCTTGAGATCTCCCTCTCTCCTGCTTTTCTACCCTTCTCTCCTTCTTACTTCCCCTCTCGCCACCATTCTTTATCTCCTCCCTTCCTCCATCTCCATCTCCCCTCTCCTTCCTGCCTCTCCTTTTCTGTCTTTTCTCTCTCTTTCCTCCACACTCTGTACTGCACCACTCTGCACTGCCCCTGTCCTTCCACACAGCCAGGGAGGGATCACGAGGCAAAACGCAGGCACTGGAGAGGAAAAAAAAGAGGGAGAGGGAGGGAATAGAAGTGGATGGGGGAGAAAAAAATCTGGCAGGCTCCCCCTTTGTCTGCAGGCGATCAGTTACAGTCTTGGTTGCCGATGAAATTTAATCCCCACCGCATTTACATGCCAAGTTTGACTTCTGGCAAGTCTTATTAAATAGATTTGTAAATCATTTCATCTTGATTAGAATCTGTTCTCAAGGGATCGAGATTTTTTTTTTTTTAAATTTTTGCCTTGCTTGTGTTTTGTTGTGTGTACAATCTGTGCCCACTGGTGTTAAATTTTGTGAAAGTCAACCCTCGGCGCTGATATTTTTCGGTGCACGCGAGCGTAAGCGGTAGGTTTTGAAGGGGGGACAAAGAGCAATGGGTGCCAAATCCCGTCTGTCACCAGCCAAGCCACTGTGTCAGCATGTCTCTCATCTCTGGAGGTCATGTCGGTGGCCGAGCTACTGCTATGATGTGTCTCCTCTTTATTAGGCTGACACCACAGTGTCTTTAGCGTGGAACAATGTCATTTCAAATTGCGCCTAATCAGATGGCATTTTGTAATTGGCAGCAAACATCTTATGAATATGAATTCATAATTGTTCAATTACAAGTCGACTGCATCATATTTATTGGCTAATTTATTTTTTTCTCCCGCTGGCCTAGGCCAATTATAGGATTTCAATCTTGAGGCAATCAAGTGATAAGGGTGAGGCGTTTACTGTTTGCTGTCACTATATAATTCTCTTGAATGTTAAACATGCATCTGGGAGGGCTGTATTTGTCAGAAGACTGTGCATGGAGGTGCACCTGCCTAATTGAGTGGTAATGAGCTGTCAGGAGCGCAGGCTTGGTGATTGGCTCCTGGCGGGATGTCCTGTGCCAGTGGGACGTATGGGCTGGCCCAGCCCGGCTGGAGGATCAGCCAGCTCCACGGCGCTGCAGGCCTGAGTGGGCGGAGTGTGGCAAATTAGGGTGAAGAGGGCAGAGACACTGGCTGCTGAGACACTGTGGCTTTTACTGCACTGCGTAATTTATTTAGGTTGTTTACAATTATCCTTGAGACTCGATTCGTTCTTGCCGTGTCAGATTTGGCAGACAGTTTTTAGATGTTTTGGTTAAGTAAAAAAAGCAGTAGTGCATTAAAAGTAAAAGTTCTCTTGGACTTGGAGCCCTCGTGTATTCATTTTGATTTACAGTGTTTACGGTTAGAACATAAATAATGTGTACCAACATAGACTACTGCATTATATTAAAAATGGAGTCTGAATTCTGAATGTGAGATCTATCCACTGTAAAGTTTCTCTTCAAAATTCCTTCAAGGGAATTAATAAATGCAGCATCCACTCCATGGCTGCTGGTATTTGGTCTCATTTTATGCGTTGTGTGCGTTTAATAGATACAAAAATGCTCGTGTATTGAAACTATTATGTATTTAAAAAGTTATAACCTGTTACAGTAATGTACATGCCACCATGTTCCTGTCAGTCTGAAAGCTCATAATCATTTAAGTAGCGCTAAATAGCTTTATTATCACTTTGGATCAATTTATTGATC